ATTTTCTGCTTGGATGGTGCAACGGATAAAAATTAAGTGTAAAAAGTCGGAGTGATTTGTTGTCTGGAATGAAAACTTCTTTVATATCACAACGGTTAAACACTGTCACAACCTATGGCCACCTGTCTCATCCAACAAAAATGGGTTCACGAGGTGCCATGATTTCGGTTGGAAAAAACGCGACCAATGTGACATAAATACCAAGTGTGAAGCATGTGAAATAAAAAAAGGGGGGTGCGGAATAAAAAAAAAGGGACGCTATGGGATGTGAGGGGTCGGGAACACTTTTTGTGACGAACTTATTGACTGGCACTCTGCCAGCAACAATGCTGGACACAAAAAAACTAAATTAAATACCTAGTAGTACCTTTCCTTGCTGCTGGTGTTACCCCAAACTGACAGAAGATACTAGGACCCTAATCTGCAAACTCCATCTTGGGGAATGGTGGGTAGAAACATGGAAGAAGAAGTGTGACCCGAATAATGACAAAATATTACTAGTTGATGGTGGTGACTGTTCATAAGGTACATGTCTCGTGATCCGGTTGGTTTGTGTCATGACATCATGGTGGTGGTCAATCCTCTGCTTCACGGGGTGGTGGTGGGTGGGTTGCTTACATTGTCCTACTACTAGCTAGTAGTAGTAGTAGTAGTAGTAGTAGTACTGGTACTAGTACTACTACTAGTACTACTAGTAGAACTTCTACTACTAGTAGCAGTACTAGTAGGAACAACAACAATTTGACACCTCTTTCCATTGCTAGCATGCCTATTCGACTAAGTGGTTCAATGGTTCAATTAGTACTCACTTAACCACGTGTCGCTTCAAGGCAGCATTGGTGGTACATTCCATTTACCAGCATACGTATGATAGTATTGCATACTAGCTACTAGTAGTATGGTACCATAGCTATGGGAGTACCGGTATGTAGTTTGAATCAATATCAGCAGGTGGATAAGAAATAAAAATTTATGTGTAGAACTGTACAGGGCCTGGGTGCTTTGCATCTTTTTTCCATTTTTGATTGGTTTGCTGGTGATCTATTTTCAACCGTTACTACTAGTACTAGTGACATCAGCAATTACTGTAGACTGTAGTCCAGCCACTTAGCCGGAATCAAGCTCTGCTTGTAAGATTATTTGAGGTGCATTCCAAACACCCCTTGACTCTTTCGTACCAAGCAGACATGCAAGAAGGGTTACGCAGTGCTAGTACTCCTCGTACTACTACTACTAATACTAGTGCATTTGCTCCGCCTCAAGTCTTAGGTCTGTCCTTCGCTCCCAATACAAAAAAACACAATGTGAAAGCTTTTATTAGTTCCTACCGTACGTTACAGTACGGTACGTACCGTACGTAATAATTGCATATCCACATCATTTGAAGAGTTCTCACAAGAAACAAGATACAATCATGCTGCTGATTGCACCTCGCTGTGCATTTCACAAAAATCAAACATCTCAGCGAGAACCATCCACATAGCCGTACAGGTAGATTCAACTAACATCTTTCTCAATATGTCGACCGAAGGACAACCGATCAAGTGCAAAGCATTGGTGGCCCGCGCCCCAAAGGTGCCTATGGTGGAAGAGGAAATCACTGTAATGCCTCCTAAGGCCGGAGAAGTTCGTGTGAAAGTGGTGTGCAATGCGTGTAAGTGTGCCACCTGATTGCGGCCCGAACGGAAGGAACAACGCATTATTCGATTCGTTCCTCTTCTATTATTTACAAATACTTCCAACCATCCGTGTTCATATTCTTACCGACGCCATCTTTTTCGCATGCCCTCGTGGCTCAAACTACAGTGTGCCACACTGATATCTACACTCTTGATGGTCACGATCCCGAAGGTGAGTTAAAAGAATGAGGCGACGAGTTGGGCAGTATATTTTCAGAGGTTTGTGATCTCGTATTTTCTATATATACACTCGCCGTCCCCTAAAAGGATCATTATTGCACCCTTGCTAGGTTTGTTTCCGTGCATTCTCGGACACGAAGCTGGATGTGTCGTCGAATCCGTTGGGGAGGGCGTCACCAGTGTGAAACCAGGCGACCATGTCATTCCTTGCTACACGCCTCAGTGTTGCGAGACCACGTGCGTCTTTTGCCAAAGTCCAAAGACCAATCTTTGCCCCAAGATTAGAAGCACCCAAGGCCAGGGACTGATGCCAGATGGAACGAGCCGTTTTGTGGACAGTAAGGGAGAACCCATTTTTCATTTCATGGGGTACGTACGCGTGTTTGTACGAGTAGCTAATTTCGGGACAGATAACACGAGAATACGGTTGGAACGAATGCTAATCGTTTTTCCTTATTTCTGAATTACGCGTAGTTGTTCCACCATGTCGGAGTACACGGTGATTGCTGAGATTTCGTGCGCGAAAATCAGTAAAGAGGCAGATCTCGGAAAGGCTTGCCTTTTTGGGTGTGGAGTCTCGACAGGCCTTGGTGCTGTTTGGAATACTTGCAAGGTTGAGACAAACGCAACTGTTGCTGTGTTCGGTCTCGGCGCGGTGGTAAGTCGATGTTACTGTTTGCTCTAAACGACAACATGTCGACGAGATGTGTGTTTTGACCGTATATCTACAACGAGGAGATGATTTATCACTCATGGCCAACACTTTAATTTCGACTTTTCTTCCGTTAAGGGCCTCGCCGTGATTCAGGGTGCAAAGATGGCGGGAGCATCTAGAATCATCGCGATCGATATCAATCCGGACAAGTTTGTGATTGCTAAAAAGTTGGGAGCTACCGATTGTGTAGATCCAAAAACACTTGGTGATGTGTCCGTTCAGAAACACATTGCTGGAACTATGACTGAGTGGGGTGTTGACTACAGTTTTGATTGCACCGGAAATGGTACGTGGCACGTAACCTCGTCTTTTATCAGTTGTAGATTTTGAAATGCATTTTGATCACTTATCAACCGTATCGCACCGAACTTCGAACCATCGTAAAATCGATACTTTTCAACGCTACTTCAAGTGGATGTGATGCGAAGTGCACTAGAGTGTGCCCACCGTGGATGGGGAGTGTCGTGTATCATTGGTGTTGCTGCATCTGGCCATGAAATCAGCACTCGACCATTCCAACTTGTTACCGGCAGAGTATGGAAAGGAACTGCGTTTGGAGGATTCAAAAGCCGCACCGATGTCCCCAAGCTCGTTCAAAGAATGCTCATTGGGACCCTCAACGTTGACCATTTCATTACGCATAAATTTGATGGAGTTGGAGGAACGAATGCAGCAGTCGAAGCTCTTCACTCAGGAGAATGCCTACGCGCCGTTGTGAACTACTGAGAGAAGATAGTCCCATGATTCCATATTGATTGTACGACCATGCGATCCTTCAAAGAACAGTACGACAATGTGATCCTTTAATGAAAAAGGCAAGATTATTTGCTGCTTGCTCGCTTTATAGAGAGTAGATAGGTCTCTTCTAGAAATAGTTATGATTTTCCCTTTCATTTTAGATTGAAGAACATATTATTTAATCAAGCGCTCAAGATAGCCATAATCGCATGTGCAAAGCTAAAGAGGAGCACATCTCGTGCGTACGCATCAGTATTGAGGACTACGAGTGACCGTTTGCTGATATTTATCCACGACTCGAGTTTTAAGATTTACTGAGCCATCAATCTTGATGAAAAGACAAGACAGATTGAAATTGACGAACGATGAACGTACTCGAACCGTTTGTAACAACGCGGTAATTGACACGTTAATTTGAGGGTCGACGAGCAAGTCTAGTCTGATTACTAGTTCCCTTCCGCATCGCTTTCTGTTTTTGTTGCATGTCATTAGTTCGACGCAATAGTGTGGGGGTAGATGATCGCAACAATTTTCTACCGACTCCTGCATCCTTTTCTTTGACAGATCCGCACTAAGGACATTCACCATACTGTAACTCACATCCATCGATCTTGGCCCACTTGGTAGAAAACTTTTCCTCGACACGTACACATTGATTACTGCCATTTGCATCATACCCTATACCCAAACTTTCAATGATTTTGCTGACTATGGGCTATCGTTGCTTCCTTAGGATATCCATTGCAATTGGTGTGGTTTGTGTCTCCTCGACTTTTGGATTTATAAGCGATCTCTCGACAAAGCATCACCAGGGGTGTCATCACAAACGGTGGCAAGACGTCAGCAAACAATTCTACCCTAGCGTTTCGCTGAGTGCAGAAATCGGTGTCGGAATCGATCTTGGAACGACGAATTCTGCGGTAGCCTTTCTCGACGACGACAACGAACCCCTCATCATCGAAATCCCCAAAAATGGTAGAACCGTGAAGTCAATCGTTGCATTCAATGAAAAATCCGAACCTCTCGTTGGCAACGAGGCCCTCGATTGGGAGCTTCAGCACAAAGAGACAGCCTATCGGCATGTCAAACGAGTTATTGGGACTAGCTTCAACAACCTTTCAGACGAGACGAGACAAGTAGTCCCCCACTTGGTGCCCGATAGTTGCGGTGCGGAAGATTACGGTGACAACGGTGGCAGAAAAGGAAAGGGAAAAAAATCCAAGAAAAAGAAGAAAGGACCTTCCCTATTGAAAATACTGGATGATGCCGATAAATACCCAACGAAACTATTTTATCAGAATGGCAGCGACGAGCCAGATAGAGCGCAACTTTCTCCCGAGGAAATTTCTTCTTGTGTGTTACAGCGTTTGCTTAGCGTCGCCGCAGAACATACCGGGGATTCCATTACCAGAGCCGTGATCGGCATACCTGCCTACTTTAATGATGCACAGAAAGAAGCTACCGTCCGAGCCGCGAAAGCCAGTGGCATCGAGAAAGTGAAACTGTTGAAAGAACCCGAGGCGGCCGCACTAGCCTATGGCTTCGGAAAAGACAATGGTGACGAGGAAGAACTAGTTCTAGTCTTCGATCTGGGGGGTGGAACATACGACGTCAGCGTATTAACGGTCGGAAGGGGATTGACAGAAATTGTATGTACTTCGGGCAATGCACAACTGGGGGGCACGAATTTTGACAGAAGGATTGCAAACCATTTGTCGAAATGGATAAATAACTGTTGCACTTCAGAAGACTCTGGCAAGGCAATGGTATTGAAAGCTGCGGAAGCTATACGGATATCTCTCAGCAACAATCGCGCAGTCAATTTGGCCCTTCCAATGACCGAAGATGGTTGGCTAGAGCTGGGGGACGKGTTTGAAGTTGTTGTGAATCCATCCGAAACGGACGGTCTCTCGKAGGCAGACTTTGCGGCTGGCGATMAGAGAAACGCAACGCACAGTTTTCACCAGTTCTCTCGGAGAGAATTTGAAAAGCTGTGCGCGAAGGAATTCCAGGATCTCATTCGGCCGATTCGCGAGGTCGCAATCATGGCCGGAGCAATGCTACCAGGAGACACCAGACCGAGCGTTGCGGAATCCGCCATCGAGAGAGAAAAAGAGCTGGCGGAACTCGAAAATTTTTACTACGAGGAAGAGCTCGACAGCGCGACCGAACCCCCACCGCAGCAACTGCAAGCGGCGAACGATTTCGCCATCGACGTTCGATCGTCGAAAAAGGCACAGCAAAAAGGACGGAAGAAGGCCCGCGAGGTGGCCAAGCGAGAACGCAAGTACCGCGAGGAGTCCCGAAAGGCACTGAAAACACAGACGGACAACAACGTCAAGGTCCGTGCCGACGGGATCTCCGGCAGACCGATCTCGCGGATCGTCCTGGTGGGCGGTGCGACGCGGATGCCAACGATCGGCCGCATCCTTTCGTCCCTCACGGGCGTCACCCCCCAGCGGACCGTCGATCCGGACGAGGCCGTCGCTCTGGGTTGCGCCGTTCACGTGGGAGTCCTAGACGGAAAGGAAGAAATGGGGGTCGTGCTGAATCCGATGAAGGCCGCCTTGATGAAGGCCGTTATCGACAAAGAACGAAGGGAGGGCAGAATCACCGACTTCGAAGACGATGACGAAGAATTCACCGAGGTTGAAATTTTGGAATTTTAACAACTAGGTTGATTAAGAAGAATAGAAGACGAGCAATGATTGTGTTGCTCCCTGTGCATCCCGTCAAAAATAGTTCCGGGTAGTTCTAATGGTAATGCAACAGCATTCCCCATTGTCACGAATATTCTCGTTGTTAAGAACGACACTAGGATCCAGGAAAGATATTCACGACAACTGCTGAGTTGTGCTTATGGCAATACTAATGGTATTCCAATTCCAATAATAAGGAGGATGGTAGTACCACAACTAATTGTGTTTTTCAATATTTTATGAGAAGCGAACAGCTTGTCATTTAATGGGAGGATGGAGTCATGCTAATTTCTTAGAGAGGTGAAATGATACAAGAAGTCAAAACCTTAAAACTATATGAAAATTCAACAGAGAGAAGAATGTTTGCCTGGTGATTTGTTCTTACCATTATAAGTGTGAGGAGCAGAAGAAGTAATAGTAGTACAAAGAAGGTGCTTACTATACTGTGGCGCAGTACACTGGTAAGACTACTACTATGTACTCGTCGAAATGGCAACAAGAAGAACAAATAGTATCAAAGCTACCAGTAGTAGTGCTAGTATTCAACTTTTAGCACCACCAGCACTACTAGTACTACTACTAGTAGTAGTAATATTACTAATAGTAGTGCTTCTGAAGTTTTAAAGATTGTGACAATAAAATTTCACTAGTAATCTTGCAGCCCAACTCTGACCTTCAGGAAGACAATGCGTTTACTGCATACTAGTTTTACGTGGAACCTTCAGAGTTGGAGCCGCAAACCAATATTGGGTGATTCCCGTTACTCTAGATCTCTAAATTTTTGGTCTGTCAGTCCATCAGAAATTGGAGTTTTTGACTCTAGATTTAGAGTTTTCAGAACCGGTCCAACCACCCGGTTCTGAAAACTCTAAATCTAGAGTGGAACCCACGAATAAA